TACTGTACTGGGACTGTAGCTCCTATTGTAACTGGACTGTTTTACTGTACTGGGACTGTAGCTCCTAGTGTAACAGGACCATTCTACTGCACTGGGACTGTAGCTCCTATTGTAACTGGACTATTCTACTGTACTGGGACTGTAGCTCCTATTGTAACTGGACTGTTCTACTGTACTGGGACTGTAGCTCCTAGTGTAACAAGACGGTTCTACAATACTGGGACTGTACCTCCTAGTGTAACAGGATGGTTCTCCTGTACTGGTACTGTAGCCCCTATTGTAACAGGAATATTCTACTGTACTGGGACTATAGCCCCTATTGTAAAAGGACTGTTTTACTACACTTCAAAAAAGCCCCAGTACCATAATGGCTGTCTTATCGTAGGGCAAACTGGAAGATGGAGCTCAGGTCTCATGCCCTCGCAAGCCGCCAATTCCCGTCCCACGGTCTCGCACTGTTCCAAATGTGTCACAGAGTTTGGAGTCACCGAGTAGGACTGAGAAGCAGGAAGCAGATACCAGCACTGAGGTAAAGCAGCACAACAAATAAAAAGCATACAGTATGTTGTGAATAAAAACAAACACGAAAGGGATGGGGAAGGATGTTACTTTTTCTGTTGGTGTTAATGATGTTTATTTATCCGTGTCTGTATACTGTACATCTGCCTCCGGTTGGTTTTGAATTGTATTTTATTATGACTGAGGAAAATAAGAACACATACTGTGTAAGAAGTTTCATGTTATCCGGTTTGTGCTAGCACCAGCTTGTTACCTTTGACACAGGAGCCCACTGACATTTGACAGATTTGAGAGATCTGAAATGTCACTTAAAGCCGGAGAGCACATCTTTGAAACCTGCACTAACAGGAAAACATCCTCTACAACACAAAAAATAACACGTGTGCATCATTCTCTCCTACTGTCCTTATAACCACTGCCTGCATTTTTATATACCAATGACACAGTCAGAGATCCCCTTAATAAATCCTTCCCTCGTGTATAACATGTCCATTTATCTACCCAGTAGATACAGTGTTGGCACATCCGTGTAACCTCATGGGGCAGTGTGTCCTGACGCAGCAGCAGGATGTTGTGATACTCCTTGCCCTGAGCTGTGGGGTCACAGATCAAATGGCCTTTTTGTATCCCTGCTACTCCTTGCTAATGAGCCTCGTCACTCATTTTCCTTCAAGCGGTAATGAACAAGATGAAAATAAAATGAGGAGGTGATGTCTTAATGAAAAAACTAACATTGGTTTTCACTTGGTTTTCCGTCCTGTTAGGGCTCAGATGCCAGTAGTCAGCAGGGCCTTCTCTCCTGGCCTCCACTGCCACCCCCAAAAAGCATGAGACCCCAGCTGTCCAACCCGTTTCTCAGAGCTTCTGGGGGGCAGATGAACAGCTCTGATGAGCAGGAAGGAACAAAGGTGATCTCTTACAGACAAGCATTACATTTCAAAACAGAAATAGGTGAATTTGATTGCACAAAATAAAGTCAATACTGTATAATTTGCAAGTTGCAAATTGTATATATATGTATATAGGCATCCTATACGTAGTTTATCTAAAGCAGTCTGTGTTACCTAGACGTTTTTCCATTTTTGAACCCAAAGGCTGAAGTAAAGCAGTCCCACTCCTCCCAGCCTCCCCCCCGACCCCCAAAGAACAGGAGGCCTCCACTGGCACAGGTTCAAGCAACAGTTTCCAACTGGAGTCTGGAGGACAGTGGGACAGAGGTAATGAATGAGAGCATGCAGAAGAGAAAACAATTATAAAGCTCATCTTATTGCAGTAACAAGCACTAATGTCCCTGTGTTAATTTAAAACTGGTATTGTGACATGGTGAAGGACTAGTTCTTTTAATAATACTTCAAAAGTGCATATGACAGATTCTTAGCAATCCTTTTAATTATAATCAGATTCCTGCTGCAGTTACAATTCTTCAAAGCTGTGAATAAGGTTAATTGAAATGTTTTGTCTGCATTGTGTTATTTACTGAAGTCTCAATAAGCCCATTGAGTAGGCAGAGGGCATCAGTGTGACAGGCTCTGAATCCAGATGTTTAGTTTCTGGCTACAGTTCAGGAGTCCCTGACTGGTGCAGTGCTTGGACAAATAGCAACAGATTCAAAAGATTAGGTTTATCATTTTGAAATTGTAACATCACGTCATTTTGCACACAAAACAATTTCTTACACACTACAAGGGCACACTTCAGCAGCTCACTGATCAGCTGCACTCCTCTGAATCCAGGGGCTGTGATAAAAGGTGCAATACATATTCTAGCTGTACTAGTAATTACTACTTGTAGCAATATTAAAACATTTTTAAAAAGACTGGGACTGTTTTCAATAGCTACTGTCTATATCCTCTGCTTGAAGCCGTAACAGACTGGTTAAGCAAAACCTGTGAAGACTATTCAGTAGAAAAGACACAGTCGCAGCTTTTTTTACTGCAATTCATGGGTGAAACAATTTTGACTTCCCTGCAGAAGAACTGATTGGTTTGTCAAACTGAATGAAGACTTTTGAACTTCACAGAAAACAAACCTCATCCAAACATATGAATTTTCCTGCTACTGCAAGACATATTCTTTAACATTATGATGTAACTTCATTCCAATTACAATGACTGTTTACTCATGAGTCATTAATAGCTATGTATTTCATTAAAATTGGAAAATGAACAGCAACATCAACTGCACTGTTACAATATCCCTGACTTTAAAAAGACTATACTACAGTAGCGGTGCAATAGCCCTCTATTAATTTGCTATTTGATATGGCTAAAATAATTATTTTGGCATGTTTTAACCACTGTTTTGGTGCAGCATTTAAAGTATCAGATTAAAAATATTCAATAAAAAAATGTATATGTAATATTTAAAATATGTTCAGCTGTTCATCTCCTCAATCCTCTTAAAATGAAAGTAACCTGGAGAGAGAGCACAGTGTCTTCATCTCTGCCCTTCCATGGTGCAGCAATGAGCTGGCCCAGGTTCATGAGTCATGGAAGCCATGAAGGAGAAAAAGTAGTACTGGTTTGTAGGCTGGGAAAGCTACAGTATACACTGTATAATGACTGACCAATATCATCATGAGCAATCTTTGCTCTCTGAACTATCTGTCCTCTTAGGACTTGAAGGCTGGAGTGCTGCCGCCCACCCTACCCTCAAAGCCCAGTCAATCCTCTCTTTGGCTATGTACTCATTTAAACATGGGGCTCCAAAGTGACTCAACCAGCACAGGTTGATCCCTTTGCCCTAGATGTTGCTGGTTCCTATTACTGTATGTCACTAGTTCAATTCTTTACTGACATACAACCAGTTGCATGGTACAGTATTTGGTTTGGTGAGCTCATGCAATTAAAAGACATACAAATATACACATATACAACATAGAGCCAGTAATAGACAGTATCCACCCAACACAACTACACATATCCTCCTAAACACATACCAGTAATAAAGTAAATAAAAGTGTCCACAGACAAATGCCTACTGGCTAAGAAAGGAAATTCAGCTGAGTGACTAGAGCATAACCATCAACAGATCAGTGTGCATTACTGAAAATACCACCACTGCCCCTGGCATTCCTAGCAGACCCACAACTGGGAGTGGATCTGCGTGGTTGGGGAAAACAGAGCTGTGAAGTATATTCAACACTGCACTGGAGGCAGACATCATTCAGAGATGTATTTAACATGATTAAAAAGAACAATGTTTCAGAAAAAATGGTTTAAACGCATTTATATCTTAATTGATTTTTGACTGTATACTGTAGGAGTCAAAGACTGGGGTACAGCGGTCGGGCCCCTTACAGGACCTACTCCCACCCCCATCCTACACTGAAACCTTGGAGCAGTCTCTGCCCATGGGTACCATGATGTGGCCCCAAGGCCTTGGGGTGGGATACCCCAGTGTCTTTTATCAGCAGCAATCAATCCAAGGAACAGAGGTGAGAAAATGAAAAACAGTTTTATACCTATTACTCATTCCTGAACCCTGTTAATCATGAGCCTGGATTGAAAAGGCATTCTGTGTTCTTTTAACTTTTATGGAGAAGGGTTATGTTAAAGGATGGATTTTTCTGTCTTCAAGTTATGAAAATGATCATTACTGTTTTAGCATTTTTTGGGGGGTATGGCAGATGGATCCTGGGAGTCTAGTGATTCAGCGTCACAGTCTGGCCCCACATCCCTGCTGGCGGCAGCCATCTTAACTCTGATTCCTGTCCTATTTCAAACACAGGCACTGAATGCATTTCTTGATTGTTATTGTTCCCAGGGCTCCAAAGGCAAAATGCTACCATTCCAGTTACTACCTCCACCTCTACCTCCACCATATGGCGGGCCCCAGCTGGAAAAGACTATGTCTTATACAGGGTACATGAGCAGCTTCAGTGCGGGGTGCGAAGGAGAGGTGAGGGACGAGTTTTATGAAACCAGTACAAGGGAGTGGCAGTAAGCTATTACAGAATACTGACTAAGTTCATTGAAATCGATAATATACTCCTATAACCTTATATTTCAGAAATGAAAATTGGTACACTTCTATTGCGTCTTTAATATTCGGATAAGGCTGTGCACAGAAAAAAATAATAAGAGAGCAAATCAAATTAAATGTAAAATGTGTTAAACAAAACAGATTTGAAGGAATTTCCACCATATTTATACATGAAGAACCATGCTGCCAATATCAGTAAAGCTGGAGAGTATGCACTGCCTATTTTAATGAGAGGCTGGGGTCGGGATACAGTGAAACAGTGTCTATTTTGTCATAACTCACACTGATGTAGCCAGATTACATTTAAATTGCATAACATCTGCTGACGGACATTATACACAGACTGTTTCTCTGCCTTTCATCTTGTTTCTTGTTTTGTCTAAATTACGCACCAACAGCTCCCTCTAGTAACATAAACACAGTATTTTGCTAGACTGCATTGTCTGTAGAACTGAGTTTTCTATTCTTCCTCGAAGTTTCCATCAGAATACTGTTACATAATAAGTGAAAAATGCTCAAATTTACTATATTTTTTACTGATGCTACTGCAGTAAATTATAAATACAAACTAGGATAATTACATTGCCTCGTAAGAAACACATTTAATATGAACAATCATGAATACTGCTAACAAAACGGTGATAATGTCTTCATAAATTAAATGTTAACATAAATCATGTATTTTTATTATCCCTGTCTTCAGCAGACCTCCGAGAACCTTATGGAGTGGTGGAACACAGTGAATCGTGAGTACACCTATAATGCCTGTGCTTTGATTCTAGAGAATACTGTACATATATTGACATACAGTAGATAAGCCATATGACAGATGTTTTACTTTTATAACTTCGATTATATGCTTAAATATATTTCAAATATGGTATTATAAATCTAATCTTTCACATTATAAAAATAGGTCATTATTATGAGGATTTTAAGATTCTACAGAATTTTAAATACATTACATGCACAATATTTATCCAAATTGATCCCCCCCCCACATGTAGAAAGTTTATGAATAATATCATTTTAGACTGGCTCCCATTGGCTATATGCACTGCTCACTAATTAGCTCATTGTTCATTAATTAAACACCAATTATGTGCACATGTGACTGTAGGTATCAGTACTTCCACTGTTATCTGTCAATTCTTTTTTGAATTCCTAATGCAGAATGGGATGCAATGACACCTGATAATGAAGATTTAAATGAAAAGGAGAAAGATAAGTAAGTGAAATAATGGAAGATTTTAAAAAATAACTTGTCTAAATTGTCTACCGGTGTACTTGTTGAGCTGTACTAGGGTTCGCATGGGAACAAACTGTTCAACAATATATGTAGGTGTAGTCAAACTTAGTCTAGTACCCTTTCTTTGAATGTGACCTACAGTAAATGAAGTTCATAGCTGCAGAATTCCTTACTTGGAAATGGTACTCCGAGAGAGTGAGAGGAGTTTATTGGCCACATGAATGTTTGATTTATGCCATTCTCTCAGAACATTCCCTGTACAATGTGCAACACCACACAATACACACAGCACATTATAAAACAGTCAATAATAAACAATGACAGTCACAGCTGACCATCATACACAACAACATACAATACATCAGATAGTACAGAACAATAAACATACAGGACAATAGCTAAGAGGTAACCAAGTAAAAAGAGCAGAGTGTAGAGGTACATTGAATTCTGAAATTATGCAGTTAAGAGTATAGGAAATTGAAAAAACAAGAACAAATTACAATGTATTTAAGTTATCTCATATGTCCTTCCTCTCTCTCTTTGATTGACTTGTCCTTCTATCCTTCTCAGGGCAATCAACAAGACAGTTGATTATGTGCAGAAGGGGCTGCGTGTCTTTGACAGTCTCTGCATGGAGCACACCGTGCAGCTGCACCAGTACACCACCAGCCTGCTGTGCATTGCAGACGACCTGAGCAAATTCCACAAGAAGGCCCGGATCGCTGCCATCACGGGGGGCACTGGCGCTGCCGTCGGGGGCGTGGCCGCCATCGCCGGGCTGGTCCTGGCCCCCGTGACTCTGGGGGCGTCTCTAGCAATGACAGCAGTGGGCGTGGGGGTGGCCACAGCCGGCGGAGTGACAGGAGCCTCTGCCGCCATCACAGACAAGGTCAATAACTCCGTCGACCGCAAGAAGGTGGACAAGATCATATGTGACTACCAGGAGAGGGTCAAGGACATCAGGAAGTGTCTCATATTCGTTACTGACGGAATGGAGAAACTGAAAAAGTATAACAGCTGCAAGAAGGGTGTCTCCAGCTACTGGGACAGAGCAAAGATTGAGCGTACCATCCAGGCTGCTAGTCCTGTATCCAATGCTCTTCAAATTACCAACATGATTTCGAGCGACCTGTCCGCCTTCTCCATGGGCATAGACATCTGCTTGCAGACGCAGGAGGTGCCGCGGTCGAAGAAGAAGTCTGAGTCCAAAGCTGCCCTCAAGACCCGTAGGCTGGCGGAGCAGCTGTTGCAGAGGCTGGCTGAACTGGTCAAGGCCAGAGAGGAACTTCAGGCAATAAAAATAAATCAATAAATCAATCAATCAATCAATCAATCAATCTCCACACTCCAAAGAAAAACCAGTGCATGCACAAGAGAAAGTAAGTGCACAACAATAGCATTACACACACAAAAAAGGCATGTGACCAAGAAAAAACTGTCACGATCGTCATCCCTCCTCTAGGGGGCGCTCCAACCCTTTTCTGTTAAATTCACTATCACATTCACCTGCCCCCTTCTTTCGTTCTTTATTTAAACCCAGTGGTCCGGAACCTCAGCGCTCTGCATTGGAATACGGATGCCCGGAGGCCCACCTAACATCAAGTCGCCCCACGTCCGCGGCTTGAGGGCTTAGGCTTCTGATCGGCGTCCTGACCTAGCCGAGTCCGGGGCTCGGAGCGCCTGACCTCATCAGTCTGTTTTTACCTCCTGTCCTGTTCCAGATTCCGCTCTGGATTCCACTCCGGATTTTAACCTTGTTTGTCTTGTCTTGGATGGATCACCCAGCTTTGGATTTTGGACTGCACCTGGATTTCCCGATTGGACTTCCCCAGACTTGTTCGCCTGCGCTCCTCGCTTGCACCAGACCACTGTCAGCACCGCCCCCTGTTCGCCATTCCTTCCTTTCCTGTGTTTTTCCTGTAGCCCTTCTCCAGTCACTTCCGGATTATACCATCTGCACAGGGTCCTAAACTACTCTTCGTTACAAAAGCAAAGCATGCACAAAATCAAAGAAATGCATAATGTACTAGAAAAAGAGCAGTAATTATGGAATTATGTCATCATTCTTCCTGCCACTTCTAGATTGGCAGTGACATCAGTCATCCTAAATTATTTACTTTTAAGGAGCTGAACATTGTTGAGAGGGTCTTTGTGAACGTTGTACTTTTTTCTGCTGATGCTGCAGTATTTTATAAGGTGGACGTACAGAATGGGTTTGAACTGGATTGGAAGAATGCTGGACACAAAGGCTACTATCTAATTCTATGCTGTGATATATAGGAACATGTGCTACGAACCTAAGTAACCAATTGCATTAATTGACATTGTTCTCTTTGACAAATAGGGAAGAGGAAGTTGAGCATGATCTTGGAATGCTGCCAATCCAATAAGCACAGGGAAGCGTCATAGAAAACAGAAAAATATTTAAGCACTGCTACAGTTTAATCACTCTGAGAAAAAATACACCAAGCATGTGACTCTCTGCGTTTCTCTCCCATGCGCATTAAATAAAAACTTATTTTAAGGCCTGAGACAGACTCCTGTCTTTAAGGGGAAACAGAAAAAATTCTCCAACAGCATCTAATGCATAAGGTCTATTTATACGCATCTATGCACGTTATGCATCTATGATTGAATAAAACATTTATAAAACGCAATTTTTTCTTTCATCATACCATGCTAACATGACATCCAAACAATGAGAGCCCTCTAGCTGTCTCAGAAGTACTGTATATGAGGCTTGCAGCTGTGCTAGGCAGCCCCATTCCCACCACTTTCACTGCACACTCATTTGAACATACGAGGCAGCGGATCAGAAACGAGCTTCGGAGACACAACCAACTTAGATCACCAGCAGAGTAAACAAACTCTACTTGAGCAGAACTCGCATGTGTTATTCAGTAGATATAATATACAATATACGATACAATATACAGTAGATGGTTCAAAACTAAAATACATGAAACTTTACAAACATGATATACTACACTTCGAGATCAACCAGGAACAACTATAGATACTAAAGTTACAGTACATGTAGGCATACTATGCAAATAAAGAATCTGCGTTTCAATCAGTTACATATATAAGCACCTTCACTCCATTTCTTGAAGATAGCCAGCTTATACAGTTTTCAATCACAGAGCTGGGTAGCTTGTTCCATACTCCCACAACCCCTTGAGTAAGGAAGTGTCTCCTGTTCTTGGCTCTAAACGCACTTCCAAGTAGTTCCCCACTTTTGTGCTCTAGTTTGGGTTTCACAGTTTATTCTGAATGCGTTCTATGCGTTGAAGTCGAAAGACAAAAGGAGGCAAAGCCTGACAAGGGCTGGCTCTTAACAGAATCAGGAAAGGGCTGAGAAAGAAACGAAACTGAAACTTAAAATAACACAGCCTCCTTTGTGCGCACAAACGAGGAGGATCGAATTACAGGCGTAAACAGTCTCACACCCCAATCGCCTAACGCATTTTTGTCTCAGGCAGACCTGAGGGTTTTCATAAATTTGGTACGTAGCGTTTTATTCTTATTTGTGCTAGGTGACAATTTATAATCGGGGACGACAGGGTTGCTACTGTTATTTCCGGAGTGGAGTGAGAAATAGTGAGCGAGAGCTCTGTGGAATGGACAAAGTTACACATTAAGGTAAGGGCACTTGCATTATTTTGTGTTATAGTGATAGGAAAATTAATAATACGGAAACATCGAAGCCGAATTACATCGCGTTTTAAAACTCCTCGGTAAAATATACCCCCTCCTTGTTGATGATGTTGCAGTACCTGTTCTCCTCTCCTAAGGGTGCTGCTCCTTGCAAAAATTGAACTGGGCGAAAAAGGCTGGTCAAATATGTACTGTACTTAGAAATCACTTGTTAACAGTAGCTATTTGTATTTTAAAAAATGAAAAAAATACAGTCAGTAGGAGTTTTCACGAAATAAAAAGGAGAGAGGAAAAGGGACTAATTGCACAAGCCCCGAAGATGATTGCAATTAAACGACCGCTGTCAAGAGTTTGCGTTAGTGGAACGTACATCTTGAGTAAAAATCCACATTCGCGGCAGTCACTCGAAAGAATGGTTGAATATTTAGAATGTAGAATGGAAAATTTATATTTCTACTAATTTCTGGAGACAATTATCGGCATAGGTTATGGTAAATGCATCAGTGAGAGAAAGGTGTACCCAATGTTGTAATGGCCGATCATAATTTCCGCATGCCCAGCACACGTACAGTGCTGTACTTCGCAGGGAAGGCTAGGCAGCCAGTGAAAAGTCCTGTCCTCAGTCAGTTGCACCATTAACAATCAGTTCATTATGTTTTGTCTGGAACCCATTCCTTCATACGCACTAATCTCTTCCACTCCAGTCCTGTTTTCCCTGCGCCTACAAGAGTTTCGCGCGGGCTTCGGAGTTGCACTGAACCTACAGACAGAACTTTCGATCAGGTCGCACCGCGGATAAAACTGTTTTTAACTTATTAACAGTAATTTATCATCACTGCATGCATTTGTAAGAGAAGTACACGATGATCACAGTGCACTAACAACTATAGTAAAAGCAATAATCGGTAGGCATCTGTTTTGATTAGATTTAAAGCATGTTTTAATACACCAGTCCCTTTTAAATCTTAAGATTACACATATTTAATATTCCTACTGTATATTAGTTGTTCCATCAGATATTTGATGGATTCGCATTACTATTGTACTGATAGTAGTGATAAAACTAATTTGATAACTCTCCTAAAGAGATGATGAATACTGATCCTGATGTATTTAAATAATGCATATGAAAAGAATAAGTAAAGGAGTAAAGTGATTAAAATAACTGAAGTATTATGGCCTTGAGCTCCTTATATTCTACTGCTTAATATAGCTGTTCCTGTAGGAAAACTCTGCATAGCAATTGGAAATGTTTACAGTACATGACACAAGCAGAGTTCAGTCCTTTACTCAGCAGGTAGTTTTGGGGATTGAAATGGAAAACCCTCACTTTTGCCTGTAACTGTCTTGTTTTCTCTCCTGTTGTTCTCATTACGTTAGTGCAAGGTTGGGAAGAGAAAATGGAGCCCCCTGGAGCAGCAGAAGCCAATCTGGAAGAGGTATCTTTAACAAACCTGAAGTCAAAAGCTTATAATGTATATAGTCAACATATATTATATATAGTCACCTTACCTAAAATAAAGTAAAATACTGTGAAATTAAAAGGCTACCAAGGAAATTTCTCACAGCTGACAGCAACATCTGAAACATAAAAGTGTCTGACCTTTGCAGTTTATAAACCATCAAAATAGCTACTTCTGTATTTGTTTCCACAATACAGTTCGCCCCATTGTTATTATTAAAGTAATTTCCTTTTCTGATTTGAGATGTTCTTTGTAAGATTGAGATGTTTATGAGGATTAGTTGTTGGGGCTCTGTCATCTAGAGAGCTGTGACATCAAGCCACTATATTAGACACTTTCCCCATTTGTTCCAGCTTAGATGAAACAGCCAGCCTGAAAGAGACATCAGAATTTGGACGCATTATTATTTTGTTATAAATGGGTACATTTGTCAGCCAAATTAACTTTTTATCAATTTTGTTTTTGCAGGTAAAGCAGTCAGAGGCCTTATCCAGTCAGCCATCTTTACCCAAAGCCATTAAGGAATGGGACAAGCATCATGTTAAACAATGGATTCTTCAAGAACCTGACCTGGATGACTCATGTGCCCAGATTCTGTATGACCAAGACATCAATGGACCCAGCCTTCTTCTGCTAGACAGGTCTGACTTGCTGAATATGGGCATAAAGTATGGGCCAGCTAAGCTGATTGTTCATAAGAAAGATGAACTTGTTCGGCTTAAAAAGGAGCAGCCAAGCACACAAGGAATACCCTCCAGCCGGCCATGCAAGCCCTACCCTTTCCAATGCTTCCATGATGCCTACCGTTACACAGAAAACAGGACACTAGACATTCCAGAAACAGGGCCATCCAACCTCATTGACCCCTGCCATGAGTTCAAAGCTTTCATCCACACACAAGAGGGAAGCACTGAGGACCAGATGCAGAAGTTCACTGAGGAAACAGTCCGTTTTTCAGCAGCCTGCATGAACAGTCGCACCAATGGCACCATCCATTTTGGGGTAGGTGACCGACCCGAATTTGCCCATGGACAAATCCTGGGGGTGCGTGTGCCTGACAAGGAAGCCTATGTCAATGAGTTGCCTCGGGCTATCGAGGGGCACTTTGAGCACAAGCATGTAGAGACAGCTAAGAAATGCATCAAGCCCCCTCGCTTTGTGGAAGTATTGAACCCTGACATGACCTCCTCAGACAAGTACGTAATTGAGGTGGACATTGTGCCAGCTTACCTGATGTGCCAAGAAAATGTTTACCATGTCTACAATGTGGAGAGAAAGAAGGGGAAAAAAAAGATTAAAGGCAAAGACGAGATGGGAAAACCGTTCTATGTGCGTGATGGTGCCTCAAGCCGAGACCTCTTGGCAGAGACCTCCAAAAGCAAGCCTCTGGAGGAGTACAACAGGTTCATCGAGAGCACCGTGAAGGAGCTGGCACTGATGAGGAAAGAAGCAGAAGACAAACGCCTAGCTGCTGTGAAGAGCAGTGTCCAGGGCTCCAAGCTGAGGGAGATGATAACAGGACATACCTGGTCCTTGGACAAGTCCCATTTTGAGTGGTATGTACTTGTAACCAACAAATCACACTTTACACAGTTGGACTCTCTGGAGTTTCTGCTAGAATTGAACCTGATCGCAGTGCTGGATTTTGACCCAGAGTCAGCGAAGACTGGCCTTTACCGGTACTATGAAGACCAGAGGAAAACAAATGCCCACTTTCCCAGGGACTATAAAATCACAGAGGCTGTGGAAGACATTGCAAGCAAGCTGAAATTGACCAAGAACACAAGCTGGGTGTTCTGCAATGGCTGTTTGACAGAAGAGGTGGGATTAGTTGAGCCATCAGATCCAGAGACATGGCCAACAGACAAAGGGGCATCAGTGCGGGATGTCATATCCTTCTTGTGCAGGAAGGATATTCTCCCACCAAAGAGGTTCTTAGTGGTTTTCCTGCTTTTATCAAGTGTAACAGACAAAATGGACCCATTGTTGAAGACTTTCAACACCTTCTGGGAGGAGCTTGGGGGCACTGAGCAGATTCTTTGTGTCTGTGAGAACAAGGCTATGTTCACAAGCTGGCGGGACCTGATTGATGCCCAGTATGGGGTTAATATCACCTCTAGGTCGATTTATGAGCTCAGCCTTCCTGAAGTCAATGGCACCGTTCTGAGCCTGTGGTCTGTTAACCGCAGCTCTAGCAGCTTTTTGCCTTGCACTGGTGGTGGCAGGGTGCTCCTGCGAAAGAAGGACAAGGATGGTATGGATGCCCTGAGCATCCTCTGTGCAAACCAATGTGAGGGCGGCGGTGCAGAAGATAGACAGACGGTTGAAGAGCGGTTCTACAAAGGTGGAAAAGTATCATGGTGGAATTTCTATTTCTCAGAAGAGCCTGGCTCCATGCCATTCATCAAGAGAGACAAGTTCAGTTTAATAAGGGACACCATCATCCCTGAGCTGCTCTACTTTCGGAAGGCCTGTGTCTCTTTCAGCTTGTGCCATCTCCCTGGCTGTGGGGGCACAACGCTGGCCATGCATATACTGTGGTCACTGAGGGACAAGTTTCGCTGTGCAGTGCTGAAGGATAAAGCCATGGATTTTGCTGTGGTCGCAGCCCAGGTAGTGTGGTTACTAACATATGGGGTTGCAGAACATGCCACTCACTTGCCTGTGTTGCTAATGGTGGATGACTTTGAGGAAGTGGAGGCTGTGTATGATTTGGAGCAGCAAATTGAGAAAGAAATTGTTAAAAAGGAACTTGGCTCCCAAGGCCCTTTGGTTGTTGTGCTAAACTGCATGAGGATAGAGGTAGCTGAGCAGCTTGGTCAGGACACAGTTTTCCTTGGAAATAACCTTTCCAAGGGTGAACAGGACCAGTTCCAGAAGAAGCTTGAAGACATCGAGAAGACCCATAAGAATGCTGAGACCTTCTATGGCTTCATGATTATGAAGAAAAATTTCCTGCCGGAGTACATCCAGGGTGTTGCCCGGAACACGCTCAAGGGCTTTAGCCTTCACCACAAGCAAGACCAGCTGATCGCTGTCCTGGCATTACTGCATGTGTATGGGCAGGGCTCTCTACTTTCTGTTTCACTCTGTGAAGAGTTCCTGGGAATGCAGACCAAATCTTACTGTGCCTCTCAAAAAGTGGAGGATGAGTTTGGGAAATTCTCCACCCTGGTAACCCGCTGCACTGTGGAAGTCAAGATGTCCTATGAAGCTGTACGAACAATCCATCCCCATGTGGCCGAATACTGCCTGCAAGAGCTTACTACCACCTACAAAGTGAGCAAGAGTGAGATTGCTAACCTTCTGCTCACAGAAGACATATTTTATACGAGTGTGCAGGGAAAGGAAAACTTATTGCAGGATATTCGTGGCATGCTTGTCAAGAGGAGACATGGGAAAGCAGGAGATGAAAGTCGCTTTTCTCCTTTGATCCTGGCCATCATGAAAGAGACCTCTGGTGCAGAGGAGAGTGTGCTGTCAAATGCAGCAAAGCGCTTCCCCAAACACCCTGTCATCTCCCAGCTCCTGGCTAGATACCACTATCTGAAAAAAAGAGACTTCCGAATAGCAAGAGACTGGGCCAAGAAGGCTAAAGAGCTAGCCATTGACAACTCATACATCGCTGACACCTCAGCACAGGTTATTAAGCATGAGTTAAAGTATATTTTGACCAGTTTTAAGGATGAGAAGTCTCTCATCACACCAGAAAGACTTAGAGAATGCCTAAGAAAAGCCCATGCTGCTATTGAAGCCTTTAGAGAAACACAGGAAATTGCAAGAAAGGAATCAGAATTTCGTGCCAGGCCAGTAAACAGGAGAGACAACAGATCTTTCAACACAGCAGGATGTCTGGGAGAGATCCAAGTGTCAGTGATTATCTTTGACATCCTGGACAAGGTCCCTGTTTTCAACCCCTGTGACCCAGTTCGCCATAGTATCATGGCTAAGTACCTTTCAGGAAGTATTAGGATTCAGGATATTGCCAGAAACGTCACGCAGCGTTTGTATGCATCTTATTTCTGCGTCCTTCAGGAATACAATGAACTGCTCAGCAATCTGAAGAACAGCATGAAGAGACTGTTTGATTTCCTAGACTTCTATTTCATCAACCTGGGTCCAAGGTATGCTGAGAAGGACCAGAGAGAAGACAGGACCCGAGAGGAGCTACTCAGGTGCTTTTGTCGCTATGTTGATGTCTTTTGCAAGTCAAATGCTCCAGAACCAACAGGAATGCAAAACCTGATGCACATGTTGAACATTCATAAAGCAATACAGGAACTAGAGATGAGAAAAGCAGACACCTACTCTAGACTACTTGAAAGCCTCTCAAAAAATACTCCAGGAAAGGATATGGAGGAAATAGTTGAACGATATGATTTTATACTTAAGAACTCCAGAAACAAGACAGTGAAATGCAAGGTAAATTACATCTACGCAAATATTGTGCTTCATTGCATAAAGCCTGCCTCGCAGTTAATCTGCCGATATCCTAACCTCATAATTAAGCTAGTTCATGTTCTTGGGTGTCCCATCCAGGACAGTGACAGCCTGGCACTGTATTTCATAGCTACTGCACTTTTGTGGCCAGATAGAAACCTTCTGGCAGGAGGTGAGAAGCTGGGGAACTACATCTCTCAAATGCGGACCTCATTTTGGAGTCAGATGCATTCTGTTTGGCATTCCAAGAAGCCGACTGTCCATTTCTATTTGGGAAAGAAGCAAGGTTATGACCGGTTAGTCCCCAGGGATCAAATAGAAATGTGCATTCACCCCAGTCAGGTGGGAGTAAACTCCTTGGGGGCAAATGGCAGGAACAGGAAGGAAGAGGAAGAGAGGAAACAGCAGCTTCTATGCCGCGTAACTGGAGAAGTTCAAAACAACAGTATTTTAGCAGAGACCCCAAACCCAGGTGTGAAGATACCAGTGACTCCAGTTTACAAGAGCCAGTTGATAGGGAGAGGGAACAGCACTAGAGTTTCCTTCTACGTTGGCTTTTCCATGAATGGGCCACTGGCTTTTGACATTGAGTCTATCCAATCTCTTGGAAACTCTGGGGCATCACAGACATAAATTGCATTATTTTTGGCTCTTATCCATTTAGAATGAACATACAGTACAGATAATACAGCAAGAAGACTGGATCTTCTTGGACCAAGAAAAACATCTCTGAGTTGGATTCCAAAAGACGTCCCACAAGCTGTAAACAGTAAAATTGCAGGTGAAAGTTGGCTGAGAATAACTGAAGACAGATCTGTGTAAGAATCATGTGGAGGCCTCCATGTAGCACTGGATTAAGCTTTGTAATGCATTTTATTTTGCTCATTTGGAAACATCAGTCTGGTATTTATTATATGCTGACTCACCAACTAATCACTTGCAGCCCCTGTTAAAAACAAATACCATTCTGAGAGCCAGATAAAATATTTTTTTCATGTACACTATAAGATGTGCATGATTAATCCTTTAGGTCACTTTTTGTAAAGTCAGCAAACAGTTAAGTTAAAACACAAAATAGAGGACGATCACACAGCTACTGCTATAGACTGTTTTGCATGCCCAAGTCCATCCATGCACTTACAGCATATCTTGGAGTTTTCCTCCACCACCTGGGCCTCCCGACCACAGTATCCTGGCTATTACACCTTTCCTGCACTATCAAGAACTGACCGCTATGAACTGAAACTCATAATGAAGCTCATAACTAAGAACTGAAACATTCCAGTCTTTTAGAGCTCAGGTGCTGGTCCGAGGATGCTTGTACTGTATATGGTAAGCTTGCTGTACTTTTTATGTTGCACTGTATAACTTAAAATATTCCTGCCTATTGTACTGTATATCTTTGACCTTGGAAGTACTGCATTGATTATTACAATGTGGTTTTAAATATTTCCACGTTATACAGTATGCTGAAAATCAGATTTTCTTCTTCTCTACCATTCTCAATATTTGTAGCTTTGTCTTTGCAGGTCTAACTTAAAAGCCTCTATAGAAAACCAAGGAAAAACAGCTTTGCAAATAATATTATTTTACTTATTTTATGTTAAATTTTTATTAAGTATTTTACTAAGTAGTTGTGTTACAGATAAATATTTATATAGGTGATTCATTTAGGCAAAGATCAGGTACTTCTTAAGTATTTTTTGTCATTTTAATGATGTGGCTTTTTATTTTGAGTCAATTTATAACCATAAAGTCGAACAAATCTTAATTGTGAAATATGTTTCATTGTTGTAAATGTCATGTTTTGCACTGAGCTACTGTTTGGTTGGCGTTATTTGTATCAGCAGCATAATTAATAAATTTCAGGAGGTTTCTGATGGTCGATGGTTTCATTCTGTCAGCTGTCTGTTTCAGTTGCCAGTACATTTATTATTTTTTCAATATATCTTTATTTTCAAACTCCATTGTACAAGAAACAATTTTATTTCTATATGCTTTTCAAGAAGGTCAGAGCCTTGCACTATAACACACAACACAGACAAAAGAAAAACAGCAAATTCACTTTGTGAAACCAGGCCTAAAACTAAATGACGCATGAAAAGTTGTAAAAGAAAAGTCTGGTCTTTAAAAGTTTTTTTAAATGATGAAAGTTGGCAGTTTCACATAACTGGTGCTACAATCAGGAAGGCTCCGTAAGCTATAGTGTGGAGCCTAATCTTTGCCTTAGCGAGAAGGTCTGAGTCGGGAGATCTGAGGTTAATCACTGGTTAATAACCTGGAGTTAGGCTACTCTGTGCCTTAACAAGCAGCACAGAGGTTATGTACTGATGTAGAGTGCTTCTGTATGCACATCAGCCTACATAAGCCGCAGGGTTACACTAAGCACATCTTAAATAAAGATGAAATATTTCAACACCAGACAGCCCTAGAATGCGGCTTAAACAAGCAATGTTACACATTTAATAAAAATTCCAAATATGCACTTCAAATGATAAAAGTAGTAAAACTTACACCAAGATTTTAACTTAAGAAAGACACGAAGGCCACATAACTTAGTATCACGCAGCGTTTATACATGCTGTACAGCAATCAGGAATGCTCCTGTGTCCCTGCTCTTTCCCTTCTGGCTGCCCCTTTCCTGCCTCCACCATAAAAGGACCAAGGACTCCTGCTCTCCCTCTCCTGTTGGGGATTTATTCCGGAGCAGCATCTGTTTCTTCCTCACCACCTTGCCTCTCTGCCTTCGTGAGTAGTACGCCCACTGTGATAAAAAGGCGTACTCTGCCCTACCAGAACGACATTCTTCTTGTCTCGCTTTTTGCACTGCCTGCCTCCTTTCAACCAGCTTTTCATCAGGTTTAGCATTGAACCCGTCACAAGTAATTTTGTTTAGAAATCGTAAAATGAGAATATTGCGATATTTTTCAGGTATTTCAGTATTGCACCCTTAACCCACTTTTATCCTCACACACAGAAGAAAAAATAATGTAAACTAGACTCGTTTTGTATTTCACAGATTATAGTTGCAATCGGTCATTTATAGCTCTAATTTAAAGTTTAGTCTAGAAGACGAGAGAACGTTTTAAGACGCAAATGTCCAGCAAGTCCATGAACCTGTTTAGCACCAGGTACGTGGCGCACACTGTATTTCTCTTTCAATAAAGCACAATAAAAAAAAATCAGATCCAGAAAAAAAAACAACTTTAGGAATATTTAGTGACTCTCACAGAATGATAACATTAATTAAACTGGTGTTGAAGAAGGTCCACGCTGTCTGATTTTACACAAACAAAATGTAATTCAGTCGTATTCCTGCAAAACTGATACAACTGAATTGGCAAACTATTCAGATATCTCAGTTTAACTACAGAAAATAACTGTCTTGTTCTCGAAGCCTCTATGAAACGGTTAAAATATGAAAAAAGAATCAACTGACACCTAAAATATACTTACTTATGTTCACATATTTTAAAAACTTAAAGTGTTTAAAACTTCTGCCTGCCACACTGATATTGTATAACCAATCAACAAGGAAACTAAGCCCTACCTGTATATCAGTCCGTGTAGTATTTCACTATAAACATCCAGTTCCTATTCACTTATTGCAGGGAAAGAAATTCAAGCATCTGTACCAATCACTCTTTTGGGAAAGTTGCATCATGTTTGCGCAAGGCATGGCTCATTTCTTCTTTTGCTTTTTCCACTTGGTAAATACATCATAATAATTTAGCTTTCGCACGAGTATCTTGTGAAAAATTAGCAGGTAATGTACCTACTCCATTTTGAAACAGGTTGTGCAAGAACTGAGAAGACGTTGAAGTTGAAGCCTTCGAAAAAAGATTGGTAATGATACACAACACATGAAGCAGCAGTATCTGATGTATAACTACAATCAGCAACAACACAATTGTCCTTAGTGGTCTCGGATCACTACATGGCTTTTAGACATGGCCCAAAATGGAACTCGTACAGTCTGGATTACAGAGCCCAATTCGTGCTCTTGCTGAATTTAGTTCTTATTGACTTGTCCCACAGTCAGATGAACGTAAGCAAACTAATAATAATAACAGTCCCTGTCACTATACTGGGGCTTCAGGAGCAAGACAGGCCACAGCATGAGCGCCCCCTGCTGGCCCCACTAACACCTCTTCCAGCAGCAGCCTTAGTTGTTCCCAGGAGCTCTCCCATCCAGGTACTGACCAGGCTCACACCTGCTCAGCTTTACTGGGCTGCCAGTTGTGAGCTGCTGGCTGTTCCGAATGTCGAAAATATCAAACTTATTTTCTTAATGTGTGCGATTTCAGCCCGCAGGCACAGAGTACACGTGTTCTCTCGTCTGTCTGCAGCTCCTTCATTAGCGCCAACATCGCAGGCTTCTCGATCACACGCCTGCTTACGCGACACTGTCTCGTTCGGTTTCTGGTGCTCTAATGTAGCGGGTTTGTCACTGCAACACGACTAATCAGTTCATTGATCTGAAATCACACGTGTAGCGCAAGTTAAGACGTAATTTGAGTAGATTTAGGATTCCTGTTAAACGAATTGTAAAATAAGAAAACTACAGATTGAAAGGCCTGCCTACATTTTCTAAAATTTCATAATGCCCTATGTGATTTAACAGTAAGGCAAAACCATATTTGACTAAGAATACGTTATCAGCAGCGATTTAGTCCTAGCCTGAGGTGGACTGGATTTTGCTGTGGTTTTACATTTCTATTTTTTCAAAATCCTCCAGAAAGGTTACCAAGTGCACCCCCTGGACGTCTTCACAGCCAGCACTGGGACGACATGACGCCATTTAAGGTAGAAATTGGCTCGTAATGCGTAATTACAGCAGAACGTACTGACTCAGCCGGAGAAAATAGAAACATGAAATAAAAGAATACGTAAAACATCACCGGTTCCTATTCGGACAGTTTTCAACAGACTCGGCGCTGTTTCCTGATCGCTGCTCTGATCTTCCCCGACTCTCGCGCTCTATCCGGGCTCCTCAGTACGAGCGGACACGGGGTTTGTTCACGTGAGAATCTGCTTTCTCTGTCGGCAAACCTGAACCCCATTAAGAGAGAATATCT